TTCAGACTTTAATTCAGAGCCTATCTCAAATAGGTAATAAAAATTGTGTATACGCATTAAGACAATCCAAACAGGACTTGAAACACGACTGCATTCTACCCTGACTTAGAAAATCATTTTGCTTTCCTTTCAAGTAAGAAAAAGAGTCTCTGGCTCCTAGACTTATATGGTAAGCCAGACGTGTGCTAGAGCAAAAGGTTCTTCTGAATCTGTGGAATCAAAACCTTTTTTTAACACGGATCTGATTTCTGAAGGCGTTAAACCCCACTCATGCACAGCCCTCTCTGTTTACTTACATTTGTGCCTTTGAGCCCCTTGTTTGTTGGTACAAGCACGGTAAATGGTCCCAGACTACTCAGTGGCCACTCATAGACATTTTCTTATAAGAGGAGGGAAAAAAAAGATTAAATGAATATTAAAAAGCTTTTGGAGACAGATAATTATTAAATGTTAATTTAAGATTTTTAAATCTAGGTTGTTGAAAGATGAGAAGCAGAGAAGATGCATTATCTAGGTGCTGCTGCATATTTGATATAAACTGATGCAAAATATTCAGAATGTTTGGTAACCCAGATTCCATAGCATGCTAACCAGGGTGATGACCATGAAAACATGGCTTCTTTGGAGTTGTATTAGTGTCTCTACAGGGAAACAAGTTCCTACTTTAAATTAATTCAGTCTTTGTGGGGTAAGGGGAATGCTGATGATAACCTGTTGCTAATGCAAGGAGCAGCAAACACACAGCTAATAATAAAAACTGATGCCCTGCAAGGTAATTAAAGTTCATCTGCTACTCAGATGGTATTTCCATTTCCAAGACAGCAGTATAACAGCACTGAAATCTGTAGCTGAAGCCATTAAATATTTCTAATATTCAGCCCTTTTTTCAGAAGTTTAAAATTAGAACTAAAAATATTTTTATTTTTATTATAGGTATGATGTACCAGAGTATATATCCTAAAATTCAGCTTAATATGCTGTTTTAAAATACAGCGTGCACTATTCTGCTATATATTCTACTTAGTTTTTGAAATACATTTATGTGGAGCGAATATATTATAAAATAACCCGTGCAGTTAATGTGTTTTTGTAGCTTTTGACTGATAAATCAAATGGTGCATTTATGTCCAAAACTTAATCAAACAATATAAAATCTGGATTGTTTTTTAACAAATGGTGGCACCCAGCATGTTAGGCGCTTTTCAGACACATAAGCAGACCCGTAGAGAAACTGCAGCCTAGTACTCAACGTTGAGCCAAAGGATTTCTATTTTCACTGCTGAATATTAACGTCACTGCCAGGTTTTGTCCTCAGCCAGCTATGTGGAATTCCTCTTCTTTTCTGGTCAGGAATTAAGGATGTTTATTTTAATTGCTGGGTTTAGTGAAAAGGACCAAGTAATTCATATTTACAACTTAAATTCAAAGATGTCACTCAATTCTAGTAGTGTTTGTTCAAAGCTCAGATTTGTGGGATTGCAACTGAAGTTGACTGGGACAGTTCTGTTGTTTTCTTCACAGGGTGACTGCTAAAGGCTGGACTCAGTTCTTTGGATATCTCATTTTTTTGGCATCCTGGCACAATAGCAAACTGGCGTTTACATTGTTAGTGAGGAGAGTGACTTAGCAAAACTGAAAGAATCCTTTAACATTTTTTCATACTTCTTCCCCTTCTAATAGGTACTTCACAAATAATTTACCTTCCATTTCCTAAGAGCAGTTCTGCAGTTCATATAAATACATGGTCTGTCCTGATTTCCAAAGTCTTTGCCCTGCTATCAGCAATTCCTTCCACTGTCACCATCCTTCCTGTTTTCTCTACTTCTAAATTTACTAGTAGATAGTGAAGGGTAGTATGAGTTGGCATCGAAAGCTACATACCCAGATTTGCCATTGTGTGGCTGAAGAATTAGGTTCTCCGTGCCTTAATACTTTTCTAAAATAACGATAACAGAACAGGTCAGATTTCTGTTGGAAAATGCCAGTGCACTGGGTTTGGAAACACTCTTTTTGAAGGATTATGGACTAGGTGGATTTGTGTTGAATCCAAGCCAGGTTTCTGATAGAGCCCTGGCAGCTCTGCAGTCCTTTGTCCTGGTTCACGCAGCTCTGCAGGACGTTTCAGATGCTTTGCTGGGGGACACTTAGACTGTGAGCCCAGACCAGGGCTCCACCCCAACTCTGCAGGTGGTTTGGCAACTCTAAGCTGCTCAGTTGCTGCCCATGCACTCTGATGGGGTCAGAAGGGAAGCTCAAGAGTGATGGAGACCACAGATAGGCTCACCCTCTTCCCCTTGCTTCTCCCTTCTTTCCTAGTTTTCTCTTGGACCCTCCTCCCGGTTAGAACAATGCCACTGCTGACAGCTAGGTACTAGGAAAGAGGGACCCCACTGGGAATCTTGATATTTTGGGTGTATTTCTGTGCATCTTTCTAGATCACATCTCTGTTATCCAATGCAACAGTGGTAGGGAGGGAGAGGAAGTGAGATGATCCAGATGAGGCAAAAACCACAGGTGATGCAAAATGATTTGCAGGTAGGGTTTTGGGAACACCTGTAGCATTTTTACTTAAAAATTCTTGTAGATTGACTCACACTGTGAGCAAAGGCTGCTTTGGGAGGTCCGAGGGTGTCTGTGGTAAGGGGTGTGTGCTCTGTGTCATGCCTCTAAGCAGCGTGGTCCTACAGCTATGGGCGTTGGAGGGGATAGACAGGGCATGATTAATCTACCCATCAAGAGCTGACTCTGCTTTTATTTGGTTACTTACCCATAAGAGATAAGGCAGATGTCAGCTTTCCTTGCCACTGTCCTCCCACTTCAGCATTCAAGTCTCTAAGTCGTTCCATGATGTTCCCGTAGCACACAAAGCCATTTCCGACATAGCCCACCTGGCAAGTGCACCTGTGAAGAGACTGTCACCTCAGTTGTGTGCTGACACACAGTTGTGCGCTCTGCAGTGTCAGCAAGGCTCTAACTGAACCTGCTCCAGGTATTATTAGTTGCTTCTCTGAAAGGATTTTAGGAACAACCAATACATTTTAATTTAATCTTTGCTTCTGCATGCTGTTAAGTTACCATTTGGTGAATGGATGTTGTACATGTCTTTTCACTCATCAGATAAGGATATGAAATTGTTTACTTGTCTCTTGACCAGCTGTAGATTTCCCTTGCTCCTGTAACCAGTTCTGTGGCTTGTATCCCCCCTGGACTATATAGCGCGATGAATGTGAAATTGCATCACTTTGCAGCAAAGATGCCCTTAAATCCCTGCTGCTTTAAACTTCTTTGGTTGTGAGAGTTGCCTATTCAGCACATTTCGCTTCTTGGTGCATAGGGAAGCAGGTGGCCGCTCACCTGATGTGCTGTCCTTCTGTCAGCCATGCCAGGCGGCAGACTTATGTGAAGCCCCCTCTCACTAAGTGAGCCTCAGCAGGATTAATGTTAGTTGCATCTGAAGTGGGATGATGGCAGCTCATGGATCCTGTGTGATAGCTGTACGTGCCCAACGCTATGTTCAAGTTTGATGTATGTCCTGCATATCTCGTTGCACTGCCCTTTAAGTAATGCAATCATTTGGGGCAACAATACTGGTCGTTTAATGTGATTTTTTTTTCTTAAGTTGTTGGAATATGAAATGTCATGCTTTCAGATGTACACTTTCTGCTGCTGCTGTCTCTTTACTAAAACACAGTAACTGCAGTTATCCCTTATGGACTACAGACTATGAGAGGCATTAGTGCATGTACAGTTCATGCGGTGCTATGGACTTCCAGAGCAGACTTGGGTTGTAGTGCCTGTGAGAGTGATGGGCATTGCCTTGAGAGGGGCTGCATTTGAAGCAGCTAGTTACAAGCAAGACAAAATCTAAAGGAAATTTGTGAAAGAACAACCCCAAGCGTCAATCTGACATGTTCTCTCCTATGAGAGAGGAAACATGCCTCACAAAAATTGAATTTTACGGCCATAAAGGAACTCAGTATTGCAAGAGGGATGCGGAAGAAATCATTGGTTGTCTATGTCATTGACTCATACTTGTTATTAGGTGCTAGTGGGTACAAATGATTATTATTTTCAAAAAAATGGCTTGGACTTATGTGAGCCTTGACCTTGTGTGAACCTGACTATTCAAAGGAAGTAGCGGTTAGCACTTTCTAAAAATCTGGACTCTTTAAAGCTGTCTTAAAGTGAGCAGCCACCAATGCTGTTTGTTTTTGCCAGTCTTGGCTCTGTTTGTTACACTTGTTAGAAATTCTGCCACTGCTTGGCTATGCCTGGGAGACTGGCTGGAGGTGTCAGCTCTGTGATTTACTCATCTTCAGTGGCTAAAATTAAACTAGGCACTTGTCAACATGTCGCGCACACAGAAAGAAACTCTTAACTATATTTAAAGGGATTCAACTATATGGTAAGTGCCTAGGTGGGACTGAAAAGGACTGGGGAACTGTCACTACTTCAGTTTACCTAGGAAGGGGAACAGAATTATGTCTTTCTGGAGATGGGAATCACAGCTTTCTGTGTCCCTATTTTGCTTTAGTCTTGTCTAAGAGAGGTTTCCTTTATGAAGCTGTTAATTTCTAAATTGAAGGCAGAGCCAGGGTACAAGTAAGAGTGGAATAGAAAAAGGTAGTAATGAAGATTAGTTGAAGGAAGGCCAGTTGTGCTTGGAAACAAAAGAACGTATGGTCTAATTATGCAGTGTAATTCTGCATCAGCTGAAGCTTCTTAGCTTCAGGGCAAGTCTGATTGTAATTACTGTGCTGAAGCAATGTCATAGACAGTATCAGCACTCACTCAGAAAAGATCTATATGGGAAAAGAAACAGACACAATCTTGCTTTTTCTGGGGGGATGTAGGGAGTTGCTGTGTTATACTGTTCAAAACCCATAACTATGACCTCTTTGGCTACATAAGAGATTTAGTCCTATAGGAGTAATTTGATTCTGGAGGAAGAAGAAGTGATGACATGTGGTAGGTTAACAGGGCAACTCTGTCTTTAATAAAAAACATCAAAAACAAAAAAAGAGATAGGAAGAAATGTCGGTTTGAGGACTCTACTACAGCCTGGTGTTTTAGAAGGAATTTTAAAAAAAAAAAAAAAAAAAAAAAAGAAAGGAGGAAGGAAAAAGAAAAGCATTTCAAATTTGGATGCAGCCGAAACACAGTAACAGTGTCACAGGTATCACAACTAGAGCTTTGGAAAGATTTAATTTACTGTGCCCACACGTACCAATCAGTGCTTTTCTTTCCAAAGTTCCTCTTTGATAAATTGATTCTCCTGAATTTGAAACTTTTCAGTATAGTTTCAGTTTTGCCAAATAGGCTTTTTTAGTTTGATTAGAATCCCACTCCTTTCCTTAGTGTTTTTTTTTTTCCCCCCTTGCATTAAAGGTCATGGAATGAATGAATGTTTGGATTGCTTTTTCCCCCCACAACCATAAATTTTGAGTTTTCCCATTCTGAAATTGTCAAAAATTCCTCAGCTGTGGAAAACTGAATTGCAACAGTGAAACAGTGATAAATTAGGAAAGAAAGGTTCTGATCGATGTGATCTGGAACTGTATTTTAATTTTTCAACTCATAAAAATTTGGATTTTGGTCTTGACTTCAGATAGGAATATTATTCAAATCTTAAATGTTTTGCATCTGGCTCTACTATTATGCTGCTGTTACAAGCTGCATACAGCTTTTGTGTAGTATAGCATGCTCCAGAAATGAACTAGGGTGTATTCCAGATAAACTTGTTTGAAATGCACATTAATTTACAAGAAAGTGGTGTTAATATTTCACTGCAAAAGTAGGGTGCATAATGAAGCAAGAACAGATAACGAGTACTTTCCCAAGTGAACATTTTTTATCTTTAGATCCATATGACAAATAATTTGTTTTCAACTTATAATTAATGCTCTATATTGTCTTTCACATTCAAACCCTCAGCTCCTGAAAATTAACACTTCAAGCACATCTCTTTAAACCCAGTACTAGCCATCGCTGGACTTCAGAAATATGTAATTCAAATTCTTTTGTTTAATATAGCATTCTTAAGTTTTGCATTAAAGAGACTTTCCTTACAAGATCTCTGTAGCTAATTTCTGTACGGGAAAAGATATTCTGGCAGAGGTCTTGCTGTTTCTCATGAGCTTGATTAAAGCTTTGAGGAATCTGCCTAGGTGGGTGTTACTTCCACAACACGAGGGTTAGACTCCCTGGTTATAGCACTATTAATATACTGAGACAGGCCAAGGCCTGGGCTCGAGTCCTATCCCATGTTAATTAATACTGATTAATTTTTAACATGCTATCTAGCATGTTTTTGGCCCCCACTAGCTAGTGCTCTCCCAAATAATGCCCTGGCACAGCCAAAGGGATAGTGTGTGCCAGGGACCACTGCCAATAGGCAGTTACTCTGTTTTGGAGGAGGAAGAGACTTCAGCTGTGAGCCAAACTGTGCTGCTTTCCTTAAGGAATATAAACAAGGTCTTGGCCCTTTTTATTTACTATTGTAGAAATGGCCTCTGAGAGCTATAAAAATAAAAATTTATAGTTATTAGCAAATGATTTGATGAAATCTAAAACTGTGCTAACGGGTTGACACTAAATCCACTAAATTTTGTAAATTTGTCCTCAGTAAAGAAACTATAATGATAACTTCAGGAGGTGTTCAACCACTGGATTTGTTTTCATAGCCTTTCTACTAGGGGAAATAGAGAGAATCTGAGTGAAAGCTTTAGCAAGGAAAAAGACTTACGTAATCTGTCCTGGTGCAATCATTGAGCATTTAGCTTTCTTATGGCAGGTGTTGTTAGTTTCACAGATGTCTGCCATGCTGCATCCTTTTCCAGGTATAAAGTTTGTGTAATGTTCTTTGCATTCACAGTGGGACTAAATCAGAAGGATAGGAGAGGGGAGAGAAAAATTAGATGTACACAAATTGTAGAATTCAGCATTTTTTCTGGAACTAGGATTTAAAAACAGTGAACTTCAAAAGCCTTAGTTAATCACCTGGTGAGTTCAGATGCAAATAAAAGGCTTATCCATATTTATTCAACTCCTTTCTAGGCTTTACCCACTTCAGAAAATTACTGGCTCTCTGATAATTCCCCTTCAGACAAAAGCCTTTAGATTCACTTCTGTGACCAGAGAATATTTCAGATCAGTGTGGATAGGTCAGATTTTTTATCTCTGTTCCCGCAGCCCTCTGCCTCCCAAAATAAGTGTGAAAGCATATTATTAACTAGTAAGCATATTATTAACTAGTGAGGCATTGCAACATCATTACCGAAATGCATCAAGCTCTGGCTGCCAGCCACCTGCAGCTCACTGGGAGACACCTCCGTGGAGCAACTTATACGACTATGAACTCTAGGACAGCCCTGCATGACTCCCTTTTCAGGTGTTCAGGGTGGCCAGGCAAAACAAGCATAGTCTTCCGAAGTCACACTTTGTCAGCGGTGAAGTTTTAAAACATGGAAATCTGAGCCACTTCCCAAGAGTGTTAATAATACATGGCCTTTATATGGTGCTTTTCATCTGTAGTGCTCAAGGATCCAGACAAATTTCCTAAGTATGCTAACTTCAGGCATATATCTGAGGTACCTGTGTAAGAAGCCTACTTGTTTTAAAAGCCCCCTGCAGTCAGAGGATAAGTCAAACATACGGGGAAGAAGCTTCATTTCAGTGCTTCCATTTAGGGGAGATGAATTTCGGCAAAAATATTCTATGAAAGGTATTATCATTCTTGTTTACAGAAGGGCATGCATGCACAGGCGTAAAGGGACTATGGGTCAACACAGGGCTTATGCCAAAGCTAGGAATAGGGCTTGGCCTTTCTGAGGCCTGTTTCAGGACTCTTGTGCCTTTGGCAGGGCTCCTTTTTTGGAGAAAATATTATTTGTTCTTAGGTTGTTGACAAAGGAGATGTCCTGGGCTCCAGTTCAACACTGACCTTTCCTGGACCATCATATTTGCAAATGGTAGACTGTGGAGGGCAATTTCCATATATTGCTTGGCAAGGGTCTATGGGTAAGCAGACTTGACCGTCACCTCTGTAACCTTCTTTACAGGTACATTTGTGATGATTTGGTCCAAGGTAAGTGCAGTCAGCATTGGAATCGCAGACCTTTTTGGAACACGGGTTGATAGCTTGGAAAAAGAAAAGCGGGAGGGAAGTAAATGAATTATTACCCAAAGTTCTAAAATTGAGCGCAAGGATCTAGCAGAGTATCTCAATGACAAACAAAGCCTGGATAGACTAAACTTCTCATAATAGCCAAGTCTGAAGTATTGTGGCAGCATGAAAACAGAAGGGAGGAATGTGTTTATATTAACATAGCAACCAACCCTTTGCTTTTATACAGAAATGATCCTTTAACTTGGGGAATTGAGTTATTAGCAGATTAAAAAATGTAATGTGCTCATTAAAGTATCACAACTATTTCCCTGTTTTCTGGTGGATTTTAAACAGAGAAGGTCAGGTAGGTGATATGAAGTCAGTAAAAGCTTTATGTGCATGTTAGATCAGTAGGAAAATATTTCTCGATATAATAGACCTTCACTGTTTTCTTTCCGGTGATTAAACAATATAATGTCATCTGTTCAGCTGTACGGAAAATTGGCCAGCAAGTACTTTAGCCATGTCTTCCACACTTCTGCGGCTTCAGCACCAGACTAGAAGCTCACTAGTCATTTCCATGAGCCATTTTCTTCAAGGCAATGGCATTGTTTGTCCTTGTTCAGAAGCCAGCAGTGCCCGGAGAGCCTCTTCACGCTCTCTTTTGTCCAATTTAGGATATGGTCAATCACACATTACAGCTGGAAGGTGGCAGGCCTAGGACTCACCTGAAAGGTGATGGTGCTCACTGTCTTCCTCTCTCCTACTTCTCTTTTCCCTCAGCTGGGACTGACAGTATTGACAACTCTCAGCTTAGCTCTTTACAGAATCACAGAATGGTTGGGGTTGGAAGGGACCTCTGGAGATCATCTAGTCCAATGCTCCTGCTCAATCAGCGTCACCTAGAGCATGTTGCCTTGAGTCTCTGCAACCTTCTGGGCAACTTCTTTCAGTGCTCTGTCACCCTCATAGTAAAATAGCTTTTCCTTATGTTCAGATGGGACTGCCTGTGTTTTAGTTCGTGCCCATTGCCTCTTGTCCTGTCACTGAGCACCACTGAAAAGAGTCTAGCCCCAACCTCTTGACACCCTCCCTCCAGATACTTAAATGCATTGATAAGATCCTCCCTCAGTCTTCTCTTCTCCAGGCTGAACAGTCCCCACTCTCTCAGCCTTTCCTCATATGAGAGATGCTCCAGCCTTTTAATCATCTTAGTAGCCCTTTGCTGGACTCACTCCAGTAGCTCCATATTTGTTTTGTATTGGGGAGCCCAGAACGGGACACAGTACTCCAGATATGGTCTCACTAGGGCTGAGTAGAGGGGCAGAATCTCCCACCTCGACCTGCTGGTAATGCTCTTCCTAATGCAACCCAGGATACCATTGGCCGCCTTTGCCAAAAGGCACATTGCTGGCTCACCTTCTCTTGCTCGCCTTCTCTTCTGGTCCAGTGCAAAATCACACACATGTACACTCCCTCATACGCTCAAATCAAAACCAAGCAACAACACTGTTGAGTGTGGGGCAGCCACTGCTCTCCTGACTTATGCACTTAATTGTGCTGGAGCTGCTTGTCCTCTGCTTTCCAGCTGGTCAAAAGTAAAAGAGACTGCTTTAAGCCACAGATGACAGCTGTATCTAAAGGCACTAGGACAGAGGAACGGCATTCATGCAGGCTGCATCAATCCAAAGCCAAGAGAGAGCAATTACTAGCATCCTTTTCCTCTGTAGGTCACTGCAGTTTCTTTGCGGCTCACTGTCTATGTTGCCTCCTAGAAGTACCTCAGGCCTCCCCCACAAGTGGCTTTCTGGCCGCTGATGTCCTGGTCTTGGGTGGTCTTTAAGCCTACTCAGAGGGGAGGGCACCACAGTTAGGACCAGGAGGGTTGTATTGTACAATATAAATATTCCCAGACAGGATAAGAGGTATTTTCAGTGTGATCCAAGATAAAATTTGCTAGATTGAGTTTTCAGCATTAGATACAATGAGTTTCTTCATTGCAATTGGTCTAGAAAGAGGAAGGGAAGCAACTGCTGTTAGCCATGGCGTAAGTACACGAAAGAAAATCTGGCTTCTTGTGATGTGGTCAATTTCATCATTCAATAGTAAGCTGAGGAGTGGAGGAAAACATCTTTACTGAAGACTTTTACCTCTAGCTGAGGTGTTATTTACTTTGATTCATGAAAAATAGAAAAATGAACTTTACTGGACTGTAGGGTTCATGTTCAGTGGTGAAGCTGAGGCACCACATGATAGCTATTCAATAAACCTAAGCCCTTCGTTACTGTCATTGATTTTTATGAAAGCAACCTATGTGGTCACACTTTAGCAAGTAGACTGACCTGATGGAAGTGAATTTGTAAGAAGAGCAGTTGGCGCTGATGACCTAGTGTCCACACACTATGCATTTCAGGGGGTTTGACTGCCCTTACTCTGGTTGTATGGACTGAAGCCTGTTAGCAGCTGGACTGACATGCTTCTGTAGTACCTTTCAGAGCTCAGTTTCATACAGAAGGAGTCTGGTTTGTGCACTCTGAGACTGCTCTGGGATATGAACCAAAGAACAGATAATCTGGGACAATAGTGAGATTTGTTTCAAAAGCGCACTCCTGATCTGAACTAAAATGGAGATGTATACTAAGAACTCAGTGGACATCAGTATTACTTACGTTCACATTGTTTGTTACCCCTGTGGTAATTGGGCAGACATGTACATTCCAGCCTTGTTCCATCTTCAGTAGAAGCAGAGCACCTGGAGTTTGAAGGGCACTGTAAGGCCTCGCATTCGGCTATTGCTGAGGGACAGAGGATGACAGGTTACGTTTTGTCTGCATACTGTGCTAGGAGATACGGCATTCTGCGGTTTACCAGTTCAAAGTACCTCTGATCTGGGGACTGTTGATCCCATTGCTCCAGTCATTACCCTGGTGATTGAAGCAGTGATGATGGTTATGGAAGCTCCTATACAGGGTTTGAGGCTAGGTGTATGTTTGGTTGCTCTAGAGCGTCTAGTATGAGACTAATTTTATATTTGTCCTCTCCAATTCTAATGGCATCAGCACTGTTGAATATATCTTGTATAGAACACAGGATACTTACGCTGATCACACGTGAGCCCTTGGTATCCAGACAAGCATGTGCATCTTCCATCTCCTGTAATTCCACTGTTGCATACTCCATGAACACAATTGCAAACTATATGGAGACATGGATTGGCTTTACTAAATAATAGCGGTGTTTGGAAAGAGATGTTTAGTGGTTACCCACGGCAAATGTCCTGGCCAACACTTGTTAAATATTACAAAGTACAATTTTCAAAGCCAAGCTTTGACATGAATTCCTGAATTTATGACTTCCATTAATGACAAGATCAATTCTCATAGCTGTAAAAAACAGTAAATAACAGATACTGATTTTTTGCAGGCTGGTAATAGCCTGAGGGCCTGAAAATCTTTAGGTTTAATATGCGGACCTATGCTTTAATCATGAAACTGACTAGCAAGTGCACTTGCTAATACCATAAAACTCACAAAATTTAACATACAGTCTCGAGCCACAGTTGAATATAACATGCAACATAAGCCATTCTAAAAACTGCTAACAAACAGAAAATAAATTGCCCATTTTTGCTTTAATTCTGTTTACCTCAAAAAGATATGAGTTCTGTTATTGCTTTAAAACAGAATTTAATTAATTGAAAGGGTAGTCACTGTATAGGTCTAGGTCTGAAGCAAGGTTTATTTGGTCCTGTTAGTTCCTATATTCTGTCATTTCTGCATACAAATCTTGTGACTCTGTATTCAGAGTCCAGGCAACTATGAGACTCCTTTATAAATGATTTTCAAAGCCTTATGTATATGTAAAAGCTTTATAACAGAACTGTTCCAATTAGGCATGATGCTTTTTAAAAAGGCCCTAAATAGTTACACTAGGAAAAGCCTGTAGTGTGTGCATTGCTGTGCTGGTGACTTCATGTTTAAGCTGCAGTGACGTAGGTTATCCACTTACCTTTACAAATATAAGCTGTGTTCATGCAAAGCACCTACATTAAATGATTAGTAACATTTTACCTCTGTCAGTAATCCTAGTGAAAACACCGGCAATGTCAAATGTATCGCTGAAAATCAGTTTGTAAAAAATGCACAGTCTCTACAGGTACTTAAAGAACTTGGACTAGCTCAAATATCTGAGCACTGAAGTGCTTATACTTAAATTAATATGCAGTTGAATCCTTCAATAGCTGCGCAGAAAGTAATTACATTAACAATATTGAATTGATTCACAAAAAGCTCAGTTGGCTCAGTTGCATTTATGTGTATCAACACTGGCATCCAGTGGACAGCTGTTGGAAAAAAGGTCGTTTGAATCAGCAGCGGTGTAGCACTAGTGTTGAAAGGCCAGCATAGGTTATTTAAGGTAGGGCCAATCATGATTCTTTTTAGGGGTAAGTTTCTGTGGGCCTTGAGGGAACATAGAGTTTACTTGGACATAAAGAGCTATTACCATTTCAGGAAGAGACTTTAAAATTTTTTGCAGGTAATTTTCTGAAAATGTCTGTTTAATGCTCAGAAGTAGTCAGGAAGGAAAGTAAAATACAAAAATCATTAAGAAAGGGACAGAACATAAAATATTATGCTAATATATACATTTGTGATACATATCCATCTTGAATAGTGCACATAGCTCTGATTCCTCCCTCAAACTATGTTCCCTTTCTCCTAACTGTAGTAAGAGCAACCAATGAAATGATCAGCCAGTCCAAAAAAAAAAGCCCCAAACCAAACTACTTTTTTTTCACATGCTTGATTGAATTATGGAACTCCTTGCACCGAATGTTGTGGAGACTAAAGAAATAAATGTATTCAGAGACAAAGTAGATAATTTACGGAGGACGGGTCCAGTAGGAGCCATTAAATGCAATGACTTGGATATAACCTCTGGCTTCATCTACTCTTTCTCTAGATTTCAACTACTAGCTTCCAGTATATGGCATACGAAGCTTATAGGACTTTTGGCCTGACTGAGAGTGGCCTTTTGTTGAGTCACACATACTGATTCCACTACCACATGAGTACTGCATGACATAATACAGATGCTCCAGAGAGAGAGAAAACCTATTAAAAAACCATACAAAAATACTCTAAATCACTGTAAGTTATGCATTCTATAAAATTTGCATTTGATAAGTTCCCACCCAATATTTCAGGTGCCATAACCATCTCCTGTATTTAGAACAGGTAACTGGAAATCTATCATTTAGAATGATAACTGCATAACATGGAAAGCCTCTGATGAAGACATAATTGGGATAAGGTGACAAAAATGATTCTGATCCCTAATTTATTTGACCGTTGGCTAAAACAAAGATATTCAAGATAAGATTAAGATGTTTTTGTAGCACTTCCCTGAGAGTGTTTTCTGTACAATTCTGAGTTGGACCCAGCCACTTTGGGAATAAGGAATTTAGCAGCCGTGTTTTTTTTTTCTCTCTTGTGTTGCTAGAAGCAGATAGCAGCTCTTACTGGGAAACTCAGACCCTCTGTCTACTCCACTATTATTTCATTATTTCAGCTTTCATTCACCATGTTTTCCCCCACTTCAATAAAGAAAGCTCAGACTTTACCTGATGTGCAGTGAGGGCCAAATAAATGATCTTCAGCACATTTTTCACAGGCTGTTCCACCAAATCCTTTCTGTGAATTACAGAAAGGAAATCAAACCTGAAATCCTTCATCTATGTCTACATAGACAGATACATAGACAGCAGCCTGAAAACAACATCTTTCGCTACAAAAAAAAAAAAATTCTTACAATGTGAAAGGATCTGTTAGCAAACTAGAAATGACTACTGCAATACCAGAAAACTAAAGTATTTGAATTATTTTTTCCTCTCTGAGTCTTTTTCTTTTAAATTATTGCTCTTATACTTCAAATCAAATCAGGTGCTCTGAATATCAAGTTAATGATAAAGAACAGTAATCAGGTCTAATGCCCAAAGCTTTATTATAATTGTCAGGTTGTATTTTCTGACTATTTGTCCCTCTCCATCTCTTTTTCACATGTCTGCAGAAGGAGTGCTTTTGATGTAATGGAAAGATTAACCAGTAGAGGAGGAAGTAGAGCAGATTCATTTGATTTTTTTTTCCTGATCTTTTTGGCTGAAGTTATTAAGCACTGCACATCATACTCTCATGAGAGGAACATTATACTGAGAATATAGGCCTAAGTATAAGTCCCTTCAATTAGGGCAAGAAATCATAAGTAATAGCTCATACTAAAGAATAAGAACTCAAAGCACTTGTTTCAAGAAGACAGGATGGAAGAGCTCATGAACAGTATTACCTGAACATGCTCAACTTAGAAATAAGCGTGAACTTTAGTACAAACTAAGCAAAAAATTGAACTCCAAGCAGATCACCTTTGCTGTTTCTGATATACTCTCCTTTAACGCTTTGATGCAGCACAATCTATATTATTTCTTAAAAAAGATTATATGGTTTTTTTTTTTGTTTTTCTTAAAAAAAAAAAAAAAAAAGGACACAGCTGGAAGGTGCATGTTCCATCCCCATTTCTACCCTGAGAGCAGCGTCCTCTTTTGTTGCATGGTGAAGCAGCTCCTCCCGGACATGCTAGAAATGATGATATTTAAGCAATTAGCCAGCTCATTCTGACCCTTACACTGCACTTGTGCAGCAGTGATGAAGGCCTCAGGGGCTGTGGGAGTTCCGGTCAGACAAGGAGCTCAAACGATGGCTACTATTTTGGAACGCCTTGAATATCTTAGCTCCATTGAGGCCATCACCCTTCTCCCGTATTTCAACTTAACATAGTTACTATAATCAAAGGATTGCACAAAAAATCATTTTCTTATTCTGAAGTACTGTATTGATTCTTTCCACATTGATCCACCTCTTTTTGCACATGCTCTAAAAAGTTGGCTTTCTCTGATAGACATGGAGTTTGCCTTACTGTTTATTCTGTACATGAATAGAGATATAACTGATTGAAAATTGGCTCTCAAAATTATATTTAATGCTAAGTTAAAGTTTAAATAAAACTCCTTTTTCCTCACAAATTGCATTTGCTTTATGTGAAAAGTTTTTCATGTCCCTGCTAGCCCCCGTAAGACTGTAATATTTGATATCTGATTCAAATCCTCTTGGAGATTGAATTTTGGATATCTCATGACCCAGTTCTCTCCTGTGGGCTGTGATCGCGAGTAAAACTTGTGTGCCAAAGATGCACTATGCACGTCAGGTCATCTGATGCTAAAACCGTGATTATGGCTGTGGTGCACCAGGTGAGACATTCTGATCACAAACTCCAACCAATACAAGAGAATAAGAAACAATGACTAAATTTTAAAATCAAAATAATTTAATTTTTGGCTGAGATTTTCCAGTATTCAAATTTTAACTAAAAGACTATCTATATAAAATGCATATTACAGTGACTTTTAGACAAATTGTTCTGTCAGATATTTTTTCCCTGCAGGAATAGTGTTGGTTTTTATAGCTTTTCAGCCTCTCTGTGGAAACTATTAACTCCCTCACATAAGCTCTTCCTTCCCATAAGCTATCAGCTTAATTGGAGTATCCATTTAGGCAGCATAATCCTGACGCAGGTGGTATCTGAATGTAGCAAACTCCTACTGCTCTCATAGCTCCTCCACTGTACCTTACTGGCAGATTTATTGGTAATAAAGAATCTTGATTTGTTCTGTGTGGGTTGAAATTCTCCCGCCTGTTGAGAGGGGCAGTACTAGATTTATGGTCCTACTGAGTAACTTAATCCAGGCTCTGAGTGTTTAAGTGATACGGAAGTTATCATGAAAGTGAATTTAATTTGGGTAGAGTGATGAACAAATAAGTGGATGCATATATAGAGAAATATATATATATGTATATATATATATATATACACACACACACACACACACACCTAACTTTAGCAAGGCTTTGGCTTTATACCAATCGATCAATATTTCTCAATTTATCCCTTAATGATGAGTCTGTGAGATCTGTTGGAGCTGAGTAAGTTTCTTCTGTAAAAATCAAAATATTTACAGATGAAAACTTCAGTTCAGTTTATCTCACGCATGTTGAAATAAGATAATTTATTTAGATTTGAGATGAAATAATCAGGAATGAGGTAAAGTAATAAATAGCTATTTCTAATCTAGATAGGTTTTAGTGAATCTTATTATCTGGGTATTACGTGACAGATCTATCTCATTCTTGGGACTGACACAGATGCAAACTGTTCAATTTCTGCTGTGAATGAAAAGAAGTTTGTTTCAGTGAACTGATGCTTTTATTAAATATGTACAAACAGGGAAAACATGAGAAAGCTCAGTTTATAGTATAAATACAACGAAAGCATACTTTAAAAATTGCTGACAAAACAATGTCTTGTTTTGATACTCATTATGCTTCCCCTAGCCTTCACTACCTCATCTCTTGTTTTGATACCACTGTTAAGGGACAGCTTTATCAGAAATTTGGCAAATTACCATATTGTTTTACAAGTTTAGTCAGGCAGATAAAGCACTTGCTCTTGGTCACTCTTCTGCAGGAGGCAGCGCTTGGGACTCTGCTTCTAGATGTTGGTAGGACACTACAGTAATGCTGGCATAGTCATCTGGATACAATACCCAGTATTTAGGAAAGTCAAGCTCTTTGTTTCTATTTAAGATGTTTTTCAAAAAATAGTAAAATGAGATGTTTTCTGCTTAGTTCTTACAAGTGTAGTAGTTTGGAGGCCAAATTTTTATACCTAGCCTAAGAGTTTAAATACATTGTCCTTTGCCTCATAGAGTTTATTCCACATTTCTCAAGTATTTTCAAAGTGCAACCTTTTTTTGGATTACTTATCTTCACCTGATTCCCTGTAGATTGAAATATCGGGTAGAATTTTTAAAGAAGAGATGATATTTTGAACAACATAATTTGACAAAATTGGGTTTATTGTATTTTCTCCTAGCCTTTTCTTTTCTGTTCACTTTGTTGTTACCAATTCTTATAGTGCTTTTTCCTCCATTGCCCATACTGTGCACCTCTCAGTTGCACCCAGTCTTTTCTTTAGGACTATCCTAATATTTCCCTGGGGGGGAACGGGAGCAGGGGTAGACATTAGCTCCCACAGAGGCCTACTCATTCATACACATGCTGTGCATATAAGTTCCTTCAGCTTTGGCATCTTTGTTCGGTTGATATGGAGAATATGAAAAAAACCTATCCCTAGTAAGCATCTGTGTCTTCAAACCAAATAAAAACGTGACTTGCAGGCCATTTGGACTGGCAGCTTCTCTTGTCAGTTCGGTTGTGCTAGTGCTCTTTTGGACAATGCAGATAGATGCTGGAAGTGTTAAAAGGCTGTGCTCTTTTTCCCTGGGAGGAGTTTTTTGGGACATTGCCCTTTCCTGCCCCTCAGTGTAAGTGCCTGTGGGCAGCTCCCCAGTGGATGTGGGGCAAAAATGCCAGGCCACAGGGTAGGCAGGCAGCAGGTCAGGGTGTGGGGGGGAGGCTTGCCAGCAGACAGATGAGACCGTCACAGCTGAGAAAGTTTCCTGGAGAACTAGAACAGGTCTCCTACAAAATACATCGGACTCTCAAACTCGGAAAATTGCGCTCCTGGCTCTGCTATGTCTGAAGCAGGCCTGGGGTGGGTAAGTTCATGGCTGGCGACAAGAGGGGGTCTGTGCGCAGCAAGAGGGAGGTGGTTTGTGCTCTGGCAATGCCTGAGGGAAATACACAGACAGGTTTGAGCAGTGAGTGGAACTCAAGGCTCTCCGGGCCAGGGTGTAGGGTAACTGCAAAGCCATGAGGCACGGGCAGGCCCTGGCCTGAGAGAGGCCGATTTTCCTGGGTGCTCCAGGCTGGGCTGTGCTGCCACCCCCTTCCAGGGCAATAAGGGTGGCTCAAGGGGCTTATAGGGATGGAAGGGGAGGACGTGTCTTTCATTTCCACATGTATTTCAGCGTGTACTCCCATTTAAGGGAGTCAGAGTGCTATTTAAGATCTTATTTTGTCATTGCCATCCGACGCTAAAGGTGAAGTATACTCCAAGTCAGGGATTTTTTCTCTCGTCTCAGGAAGGACTGTTTTTCCTCTGAACATTTCAAGGCATGCTGTATGCTCTTAGGGAGATTACGATAATGAAAAGACCTGTTATCTTCCTCTAAGTGACAGCAAGAACAATGCTGAGACCTTGATTCTCAGAAGCTTTGTTTTTTAGGGCCAGGAAGTTTATTAGAAGGAAAAGAGGGCCTCCTTGCTTTCACAGCTTTCTGCAGGGGCGTAGGCAAGGTTGGGGTCCAGCCGGGTGGTGAACTCTTTCGCTCTCTAGAAACACTGAGAGCACATTGCATGGCCTTTCAGAGCGCCCTGAGCTGGGCAATGATAATCAGATGTAGCACTGCCTCTCTACTGCTGACACTTCGGCTACAGTTTGATGGAAAAATGGTGAATAATCACAAAAGTGGTTATCTTCAGAGGAACACAGAACCACACACTACACACTCAGCTATTTTCCTGTGCAAGTAGCTTTAAATTGGATTTTTATAATTTTGCTTTAGTAAATAAATGAGTGTCATTTAAATCATAGTTTGGGCCAAGCTAGAATCATTTTTCAACTATTTCACAGGTAAAAGGACTGCACAGATACTGAACAAGACCTTGACTCCATTAACTATAGAAGGAAATGCTCTGCCTCAGCAGAGAAACTTCATCAGTATTTTGATGCCCACTTCAGTAGCCTGAAATACTTAAGGAGATGCTGAAAGGTTTTTCCTGAGGAAGGGACAACTGGAGGAGAGGCACTCCTGATCATTGCTGCTTGAGAAATGGCCTTTAGCATTTTCTATTTAAAAATTTGGAGGGAGAAACTGTTTCAAGTGGAACTGAAAGAAAAGACCAAAAGACCACCTTAACTCAAAAACTAAAGGAATAAAACAATTTAGAAATAGTTCAGATTCAGAAGAGAGTATTTGTGATCTAAATGGAAACACTTTAATTTATGAGGTGAAACCTTTAATTTTAAAAATAAGTTATAGGGATCCTTCCAAATGAAAAGTCATTTTGTAGCCATTGACCGAAACAAATTGGTTTGAAAATCTCAAAACCAAGGAGGGATTTCCTGAGTTTTCGGATTTTTTTCCATGATTTTATGTTTTTAGAAGAATCTCTGAACATTTGGAACAAACATTTGTTTTTCTCCAGGTCCTCTAAGTTTTGCCTGAAGGCTGCTCTCTGTTTCTAATCCTATAACAAACTCTGAGGAGCAAACTTCTCATGGAAATGGTTTCTGAAAGGAAGAAGACTCGCTGCTGTACTCCTACTCAAATTCTGTCAAAAAGGAGCTTACCTATACAGTCTGGGCCCCAGTGTCCCTCACAGCACTCAGGTTGTTCAAATTCCTTCATACAAAGATGCCGACATCCAGGAAAAGAAAGAGTGTGTGTTTTAATTTCTAGGTAATACCTGAGGAAAAGAAGTCGGAGTTGCTTTAAAGTACTAAAAAGCCTCCTGTGGGGATAAATGAAATTCTTAACTGTCTCTTCTCCTTTCAGCATGAGATAAGAGCACTTTAAACATAGGCTTATTGATCTGACTTTTTTTTCCTCATTAAAACTTACATTACATAGCAAGGTCTAAAAAGATCCTTGGAGCCATTTCTTCACATAATATATTTATCCTTTTTAATTTCTGCAATTTACATACAACAGTTTTCTGTAAGTTTTGTTTGAAATTGCGTTTTAAAAAGTTAGTAATTATCAAGGTTTTTTTAAAAGCCAAGTAAGCTCAAAATAGGTATTTACATTTACCCTCAAACAATGACCTTTTTGCTCTGAAAATCAGACAAGATTTCATTTTTGTTTTGCGAAATATGTTCCTGTCCTTTCTGCCCCCCAATTTATTATTTGTATATTTAGATCATTCCTATTGAGTAATTGCAGAATAAATAAGAAAGTCATTTTATAATACCACTCAAGAAGAAAATTTCATAGGTAATCAGTACCAGTGTTCATCATCATCTTTTTATCATTTGCTAATTAACCTGAGCATAAACCACTGCAAGTGAAACTTGGAATTCTAGAGTAGGTGAAGCCAACGGTAAACATCCCTTAAGAAAGTTGCATAGAATAGATCATTCCTAATACAAATTAACGTTCTCTAATTTATGGAGAATAATATTCATAGTGAAAAGCTTCAACAGAAGAACTAACTACCTGCAGTCTGGTATCCCAGTCCCATTGGTAATTTTGGTGTATCCAGCAGGGCACTGGGTTTCGAGGTTTAGAGAGCACGGTAGACATTCAGTTTTCATTCGAATGAGCAGCTTTTGATCACATTGCTTCTTCATCTATAATAGGAAAAGTTTAATTAGAAAGAAAGAAAAAGCTCTCAGAGTTGACCTAACTCTGCCCCCAGTGGCACTGCTGAAAAAAGCTAAGCTTAACTCAGCTTTATTCTCCCTCACAGCCATAAGCTCTCATTCAGCAGTTACAAACCCCTGCTCTGGGGCTAACTAGACTGCATATTAGGTCTTTACAGTGGGCTTCTCTGCACAAAATGTTTGTTCTCTGCACAAACACTGTAGGATAAGCCCTTCTAAGTGTCCTATTTCTATTAAGAATGCTTTATCAACAAATGCTAAGTTCAGCATATTTAAAAAGCCAGGTTACCAAGAAAGCATCAGCCTACTGAGCATTAATTCTGAAACTGGTTCACAATCACAAAGCAGGATGGAGAAAGACAAGTGCCAGCAAGTACCTTCTTCGTTCAAAGGTAAAATTAAATATCAGGTGTGGAGGAAGTTACTCTTTGCTCTATGCACACAGAGCAGTACCTGAGTCTTTGTTCCTCTCAAAAGTTAGGTTTCCTATTATTAGCACTGCTGTATCTTGAAGGGTTAATATGTGGTAAATGAATCAAGAAGGTGGCTAAAAGGAGAAAGGTATTAGGGTATTGTCACAGTGGAAGCTTTGTATTTTGTGGTTGTAGAGACGATAGCCTGGAGAATGTCCCATATGCTAAAAATGATCTCTGCTTCTGCTATAATATCACTCAACCTACTTCAAAGCAAAAAGTCTTTGCTGAACTCCATCTAATGTTGGTTTCCTCTTCTGTCTTCCTGTTGAGTATTTGTAAAAATACGTTCGTAACGCACAAATGATGAGAAATGATCCAAAGCAAAATATGGTCTTAAAAAGCCAACAGAGAGTGATTAGGAGATTAAATTGCATGTGCTCTGAGGGACTCTACTTGATAATGATCATCCAATTATAAGCACATTTCAAGGCCTATTTGCTTGTTGATTTTTAATTTTTATAAATGTACTGTTGAAAACTGATCCGGGCAACTTTCAAATGAGGCAGAGTTATATCTGGGAGGTGAAATCTCTTACTGTAGTGCAGATGTATTTCAGAAATCTTTGAAATAAAAATGAGACCCTTTTCCAGATTTGGATAAAATTTGGATAGAGCTCATTAGAGCACTTGGCAAAGCAGTGGTGAGTGGTGCTATACCACGTGGCCTGCCTGCCCTCTTGGCAGGACCCAGCAGCAAGGGGGTGTAGGGCTGCACCAGCTCTTTGGGTTTCAGGTCTAGGGTGGCTGCTGTGGATGCAGGCAGAACATCTCTGTACTTCACTTCCCCTTCCAAACTGCCTTGCAAGATACCAGCATGAAGCAGCTTCAATGCTTCAAGCCCATATCTCCTTTAAAGCACATTGCCTTTCAAAATCCTGCTCCTCAGCACTAGTGCTAAGATTAGACAACCCATCCTTAACACAAACTCAGGCACCATAGCAAGAATGAATGCAACATAAAAGGTGCAGTCTGGGTACCTTTACTCCTATGAAAGTTTCTACTGAGTCCAGGCAGTATGATTAATACTGAAGAATCATCATAAACATGGAGTAGTTGCTGATTTATCTGAGTTTTTAGCTGAGTATGCTACTTAAGCCCTGCTCCTCACAGTTGCGTAGGTTAAGAGTTGGAGGCTGTAAAAACTCCTGGACTTGTACGACATTAAGGTTGAGAAATAAAAAGCTGTTGGGTAGGGATGGCTGGAATTACTTCACTGCAGTATTTTTCACCAAAAAAGCCCCCCTGCCAATAATATTTCCCCCTGTAAAATTTAATTTTTGAAAAAAATTTTCAAAGAGGTTTTTGAAAAGACAAAATCTAAAGAGATTATACCCCTTCTCTCCCTCCTAGCTTAAAAAACTGTCTACTTTAAAATAGTGGGATTATTATTGTGTCATTTCCTCATTTTCCCTTTTTTCTATTGGGAAAAGTGGAAGAAAGGTGGTTTGTAAATTTTTTTTTTTAAAAGACAGAGTAAGATAATATATTTGCCAGGGCTTGTTTAGACTTTTCAAAGTATTTTTCCATTAAAAAAAAAAAACCCTGAGAGTAAGGATTTCCTTTTTAAATTTTTTTACAGTTTCTCCCTGTCCTTTTCTCTTTCTTTCCCTCATCTTTTCCAGCCCTTTCTCCAGGTTCTACACGCATGTGTTTTTTCCTCCAGAAAGCAGTAATTTAAAGCTCCTTGTTGTGAGATAGTTTAAATGCATAAATGTCTGCATGTCTAATTCCTTCGTCAGACTAGTAGCATGTTTTCTTCCTCACTACAACTATGGTGAAAATGCATTTTGTGAAATTCCACAGATCCATAAGATCTGTACATGGCATATGCTTTGGGTGCACAAGTACCCCAAAGTCTGCAAATCTCATATTTAAATTTATAATTTTATACAATTCTTTCAGTGGCTAAATTCCATGGTATTTTTTCCACCTGCCCAAAATAGCTTTTCCTCATTGTGATTAACAGACTGGATTATACTCGCTATGGGAAATTTCTACTTTCATCTTCTGACATATCAGAAAATCTAATGGCTTTCTTTTGTTGCTTATGATGACTATGTCAGCTACAACCTATTGCCAGATTCATCAGGTTTTAGAGACTTTTTCAACCTACTCATGACGTGTTTTAAACCAGATTCTCATCTGGAATAAATAGATGCAGTTCTGTTGATTTCAGAGGACTAAATACAACTCTTGGTTTATGATTCAAGTGTCATATGGCATCAGTGACTGTTACGGTAGGCTTTCTTTCTTCTATAAGATACAGTATCTGATAACTATTCTTGCTCTAATATTGAACCACCTCCTATAATGTAACACAAACATATAAAAATTAATTATTTGAATAAAAAGCTTCTTCTTACCTGATCTGGGACTTGTGATGCTGAACATAGCTTCGTTGCAACCAAAGAGACCAAAAGGAGTAAAACAATCAGATTTTTCTCCATTGTGAAGAACTTGAATTTTTTTCTTCAGAACCCTTAAGACATGAATAATAGAATTATGACATAAAATGAATATTTGTTAGAGTTACTACTTTTTCTGCATTCTTAGGCAAACACTTTAAAATGACTCTTCCCTTCTCTTCCTGAATGCAAATGAGTGAAAGATACAGCATACGAAGTGTGCCTTTAGACAGGAAAAATTCTGAAATGCAGGGTCTTTGCTGAAAGATTTCACTGCAAAGCTGGATAAACCCTTCCTAACTGAATGACAGGATATCCTGACAGGGCTCTGTTCATTTATCCCTCTCTCTGAAGCTGTTGACAGTACAAAAACAAGGATACTGAACTGTTATGACAGAAGATGTTTTCTTCTTTTAGGCAGGCATGAACTGAGGACTGGAGCAACTGCGGTTCTTGTTATCATTACATTTGTTCAACGGATCTTAGGCAGAGTAAAGACTCTGGAAGTGGGCTTATCAGCTCTAATAAAGTAAGGGTGGGTCCCCTGAATGCAGTTCTGGGAGAAATACTACTGACTTTATCTGAGTAGGCCAAAAAAAAAATCTTCCAGCTTTGGTTAGCTAGATAAAGAAGGGGATTTTTTCCTTTTTACCTTTTTTGTTGGATCATTTTGACCAATTTCCTGGAACTCGTCAGAAGAAAATTAACTCAGCTATGCTGCTTGCACATGATTAGAAGGGATTAGTAGAAGGACATTTTGAGTAGCTGAAAATAAAACTGTTTCTCTCTTTCTTCTCAGAGCTCTTCAGCTCCTTTCTGGTCTTTCCCTGCTGCTCAGCTCAAATTTATAAGGGCAACCTCTCTCATTGCTTAACTAGCAGATGATTTGGCTGCCTCCTGCTTAACAGCTTCACTTTGTGCCCTTGATGTTATCATTTTTCAGTCACTGAAAGCACTCTGCAAGTGTACCTTAATACAAAGTTTTGCTTGTTTCTGACTGAACAGTCCACAGAAGCATGGTGGTTACTAACCTATTGCTTTCTCCTCCCTACTCCCTCGCCTTTCTCACAAATTCCTGTTTGTAGCCATAGCTAGATGTTGCATTCATACTATCCTATAAATGAAATGTTTGGAGTTGTAACCTATTATCTTGAACTCTATATTGTTTTCCTGAAGAACTCTGTTGTGATACATATATAATATACAAATTCATCTAATTTTTTAATATAATTAACTGAATACTGCAAAATTGCTGATAGGAGATGGCAGGGCAAGATGTTTCCTGCACACTCATCAGCGCCTGTTCCTTTCTGCTATATGATGAGGAAAGTAAATCATTTCTTGCTTATGCAGACAAGATAGCAGCCAGAGGTCACTGCATACACTCTGATGGTACATAGGGCCCTGAGAATTACCATTTTTCTATTCTGAGGTCAAGGTTTGTCACATTGTTTCAGTTTTGCATATAATATACAACCTGGTCTGAGCTAAAGACCGGAGGAATCTCTCAGAACATAAAATGGAAGTCTGGGAAGTAAAATTATCGTCCCTCTACTGCAGCTGTGCAACCAGCAGCAACTCGGGCAGCTTGCCTTTTCCTTGAGTTTGGGCAGGGTAGCTATCTGGGCAGAATCTGTGTTACCTGAGTGGAAACATGTTTGCCTGATCCTGCATGTGTCACAGCATGAGCCAACCGCTTCTATAGCAGCTTGAGGTCAGCAGGGTTTCTTGCCTGTTGCCAGCTCAGACAGCGCAGTGGTGAAAGGAGCTATAGATCAAGCACGTCCCTTTCCGGTGCTGTAGATCAAGATAAAAAGCAACATGCATCAGCTCCCTGTTTTTTGCTGTTACCTCCCATATACACATTTGTGTAAAGTAAACCCTTTTTCTCTTTCATTCCTCTCCCTTCTTGTCAGAGTATGGTCTCTTTGCTAAACCCTGATGACTGCTTTCCCTGTTCCAGACAGCCTGGTCACCATTTCCTGTTATTGGTATAGGGGATATTCCTAATTCGCAGGGGTTAAACGTAGACTATGCCAGACTGCGACAGAAAGCTATTAGGAGGCTCTGTAAGTCTGTTAGGTCAGCTCCTGCCCCAGCCTCGGCAAAAACTCAACCTAATGTGTCACCTAGCAAGCAGTACAGGCTTGGTGGGGCTGGAGGTGGCTGGGCACCACCCTGACGCTCAAGGCTCAAGGCCCATGAACTGTGGCACCTGCGGCTGCACACGCTACTGTCGGCAGCACATCTGTTAGCTGGCTGCGGGGGCTGGCCACACTGCCTCACTGCTAGACAACGCTGCCTTGGCTGTCTGACTGGCACCTGTGGTCCAAGGTAGCCTTTGGCTGTGCCATTGTCCTTGCTGGCATGCTGTTGGCATAGGAAAGGGGCCCTGTCTCCTCTGTTTCATCCTTTCATTTTAGAAATGTTAGGATCGTGGATCTCAGCCTGCGGAGACCCATGACCATAATGTCTCTAAATATTTCTAAACCCATGTTCTTCTTCCCCTTTCCCTGCCGGCCCACAGGCCGCAATGTGCATTTGCTTAGGGAAGTGCTGAGGAGTTCATGCTCCTGTTGGAAGCAGCAGAAATTTCATCTCTCAGTATGTTGCTCTGTGTTGCTGCATCTGTGCTGTCTTGGTCCTCCTCCAGATCCTGCCCTCAACTCACTCATATCCTGTCCTAGAGTGTCCAGCCCATTTATTTCTGGGGCTGTCGTCCTCCAGGGTCACGGTGACAAGCTATCACATTCTTGTTTTTTTTGCTGCTCATACAGCCTGGCTGAAACATTCATGCTCTTGCATTTCCTTCTCTTAAACTCTCCTGGCATCAGCAGGAAAGTTTATTTTAGCTCTGTGCTGTGCTTCTTTCTGTGTCCAACTGGAGTAGTGGAGAGGACTTGGACCTTTCTGGTTCTTATAGAAAGATAAAAATTTTGTAAGCCTCACACTACAAATACCAAAATACAAATGTGTCTGTGGATTTGGTCCCCTTGGAGTTTTTTTCAGATAATGCTGATTTGGGTGAAGGAAGCGAGAGCAAGAAATGTGGGCGTGACAGTAGGTACAAATGCACCTTAGAGCTAGGATTGGTTTGATGCAGTGGAGTCCAGTCAAGACTCACTGGGGATATCCTGGCCACTTGGACACTTGCTGTCTCAGCAACCTGTCACCCTTGTATCTCTGAAAACATTCAGGTTGCAAGCAGCCTGGTGGAAAAGATTAGTAAGACTCGTTGTGTGTGCTGTAATACTGCAAATACCATGTGCTGTGGCATACATTTGTACATGACAGACTATCACAGCCTTCCTCCCTCCCTGCCATTGCATTCCTGGACTGGATGCTGCTACTTTAAGTAGACATGAGCTTGCTGCCTTTTTGACTTCGTCATCCACCTTCTGTCTCTCTCCAAGCTCTTTCTGTGTGCTGAAAATGTCAATCAACTAGAGAAGATGTAGCAGCTCATTTAGCCTCCTAATATATGTAGGTGTTTTTGAAAACAGTATTTAGTGCTATAACTTATTCCACTGTAACAATGTGGTAGTTTTTCTTTCTCAGAGCCAGGCATCTGGAACATAAGATCAGTTTAAAAGCGAATCAAAAATGATGATCTTCACAGACGCTTTAGTTGCAATTTTGATAACTACTTCATTCCTTACATTTTTAAATTTTGAATTGGTTATTGACTACATGACTCACACTGTATATTGTTCACCTGCACTTCCTGAACCTGAAGCTCTCTCTGTTGGAGATGGTTGAACAGAATATAACGAACTCTCAGAAACTCATACAAAGCTCAGCCACTTCACAAACAATTGTTACGACCGAATCATCATTTTTAAGGAAATAAAAAGAAATATGAACAATCTGAAGCAGAACAGTCATTACAGCTTGAACATTCATGAACACTGCACAGCAAAAGCTGGTACCTTTTCCTTGGTACATCCCATCCTGCCTGCAGGTATGGTTTCTGCCAAGGAGACCACCGAGCAACTCAGCTCCTCTATCAAGGGAACAGTCTTTTTAGTGAGGTCTTAGGGAATGAACTGAACAGTGAGTGTCAAAGGTGAGAGCAGTCTTGAACTAAATTTAATATTCTTATTCCTAGTAATTTGTAAGTAAGCATCAGCAAATAAATACATTCTTCATTTTACAGTATGTTGATTCTGTGTTAGAACTGGTCACACTACGAAAACTGTCCCTGGGGACTTAATAGCTACGGTTTGAGGTTCCACAGCATGTCCTAGGGAAGTCACTTTTTCCTTTGTTTTGAAACTGCTAGTGTACCTTGTAGAGGAGTAGGAAAATTTAAAACGTGCTCAGAGGAAGAGAGCTTCCTGCGGGGAGGGAGATTTTGATTCTGCCAAGAGAAATGTCTGTCTAGAATGTTCTGTTTAGAAAAAGAGAAATGTCTGAATTATAGGCTAATTATAGGTAGGAGGAAGGGGCACAGAAGCCACCAAGTTTCCTAGGAGGAGGCATGGGGAAAGGTGAGGGTGAATATTTGGGAAATACTGCCTTTGATTAACACAGAATTAATTGGAATGTAACAAAGAGATCAAAAAAAAAAAAGTTTGGCAAGTTAAATTCTTCCAGTGCCATGCATCTGAGGCAGCCAGTGCTAGGCCTACGAAGAGTCTGAATGTGTGATGTGGAAAATTTTAGGGGTGTGTAATTTTATCTATGGGGTTATGACAGCCATCATTTTGAAACATGGTGACTATCAGAACTAATTAATTCTCCAAGCCCATAGGATGCATTAAAGATACAGCTGCAGCTGGTATGCTGAGGAATGCTGCCCGTCTGACAGAGGCCATCGCTTTTATCAATGTTAATGAGGGAGAAGGCACAGACAGCTGATCTAAACCAGAATGTGTGCATGATGCATACAGCTGATGGCAATGCAGACTGCTAGTCAAGGGGTGGTCTTAGCCATAGATTAGATCCTCATAGAGGCCTCTTCAGCTTTCTTTCTTTCCCCTCTTTTTTTTTGTTCTCAAAAGAGTCTTTCAGCTAGTGAAATTGTAAACAAAAGGCATTCTATCTGAGGCAATAGCAGAGAGGGCTTTGCTAGGGAGACATGTTGAGAGGAGCGTATGCGGTACAAACGTAGACAATGTTATTTACTCCGACTTTTAAGGTGGTGTTAGGTGGGTGAGCTGTAAGGCTGAGCTTATAAATAGCACCATATTCTAAAGAGAACGGCCACAAAATCATGATCTGCTCAGGGGTATCTGTGCTACCCTTTCACACTATAATAGCACGTTGGTTAAAAAAAATCCAGCTCCAGCCATAGGTAAGACCCTATGCCCAGCAGGTCTGTTAGG